AGAGGTCGTTCACACCCATCCCCGTCCCAACCCCTCGCGCTCGTCGCCAAAGGACGTACGCGCCAACCGGCGCGCCCGTGACATAACGCAAAACAAACCCCCTACCCACCCACCCGCCCCCAAGCCCCTCCTCCGGAAACTGCTAGTGGCTGACGCAGCGCTGCGCGCGGGCGGGCGGGCGACGAGTGGACTCAGGAGGTGCTCGCGGCGCGAGGGGAAAGCGGCTGGCCCAAGAACCGGCTCTCGGCGCCCGTCAACAACGTCCAAAACACACTACAAACAGCTGTTTTTTGTACATATTTACAGGTCTGTAGAAGGAACATTGGCATTAGCATGAACATATCACCTCTAAATACCAATTGTGAACTACACAAAGAAAATAGTGGAGATGCAATTCGTAATCAAACTTCATTCAAAACCAAGAAATTCCATAAGAAAAGTGGTACTTTAAAATAGAGTATTTTTTTTATAGAATCAAGTCGTACCAACTGCTTATTATATTTTGATAAGTCGTAACGAAAAAAGAGTAATGAAGAAACAACAACTAAGAGGATGAGTCTGAGAGGCTGCAGTGCCACTGCTCTAGCCAGCCTGTGCGCCAAGCGGAGCGGCGCAGCCAGCAGTAGCAGCAGCAGCAGGCGACCAGCCTCGCGGCGCGGCGGAATTAAGCAGTAACGCTACGAGTCCCGCTTGATAGAGAAAAAGCTGCTGGAGCATGCAGAGAAAGGAGCGGCGAGCATGCCAGGCACCATCATCGCCACAAACAGTCAGGCGGAGGCGAGCGCGGGGGCGCGGCACGCCAGCCCGCGCTCTCAACGTCGCGAGTGAGGGGCGTGATGCACGCGCGCGGGCGGGGCGGGGCGGGCGGCGGCGGCGGCGGTGACGGCGGGCGAAAACGATCCCCGCCCGCCCGCCGCCCACCCCGCCCCGCCGCCGGCGCGCCCCGCGCACCGCCCCCCAGCATGGCGACGACACGGAGCATTGATTGCTACCTCCCCATCCACACAAACACCCCCATGCGAAAACGCAGGCACTCCCCCCTCGCCGCCGCGATCTTTGGCTCTTCCGTTCCGATCGCCGAGTTTTGCGTTCCATCGCCTTTACAGCGCAAGGGATGAACCCAGCGAACGCTCGGCTTGACAGCTCGGAAGGATTCAAAACCATCTCGTTCCAATTTGGAAATCGATTTCGCCCGACGCGACGCTCGCAACGGGGCGCGTTCCGTCAGGTGTCACAGGACGAAATAACACCACACTCGCTCCCGGCACGTTCGGTAGCAACAGTTGCCGCTTCATGCTCGCGCGAAGAAAACCATCCGTCTCGCGAACATCACACCAAATGATAGGCCTACGTTTTCGGACACCAAACACAACACGCCTTTGCCACACCAAATGACTTACACATTGTTTACGAGTGCTGTCTGAGCTACGCTTTATTGCTGCATGTGCGGCCGATGGCTCGGCGTACTCGGGCGCCGCCGACACGAGCGCGTGGGTCCGTCGCCGCGCGCAGTCCCTGGCCCACTGAGCGGCGAGGCGGAGAAGAGGCGTCGAGGCGGCCACGCACGGCCCCGCCGCGCATGCGCGCGCGTAACGATCCGCGCCGGCCAACAATCGACAGGCGGCTCCTGCGCGGCGCGGCGCAGAGAACGGCGACGGCCCGACAGCGCTGCCGAGCCGCTGTAAAAACACACGCCGGCCTGCCTTCCGGAAGGCACACTGGCCCAGATAACTTCCGCGCGTCAAGAGGCCCGTTTTCTTCCGCCGCTCTGCATCCTCCCAATCTATACTGGGGCGAGATGGGACTAGAAAATTATAAGTGTCGGCCGCCCACACGTCACTCACATTGCACAAAAAAGAGAAAAAAAGAAAAAAGAAAACGTTTGTTCCTCACAGCAGAATCAGACTTGCGTGTTACTCCAGGAACGAGAGAAAAGCACGAGGGGTTATCGACAATTACATACAAATGAAACAAGTCAATGTATCTGCGTAATACTTTACTGTTATAATATCGACTTGGCGCAGCCAAACAGAAAAAGAGAAAAGCCACTTTACGGCCGCTAAGGATTTAACAGTCAGCCGTCCGTTAAAGAGCACTTGAAACAAGGGAGTTGTAGTAAAGTTGGTGCATGAGTACACTTATTCCAAAACTTCTTGCTTACATTTGTTTTCAAAGGATATTTGTATTACGAAACTTATTGAACGCAACACGGCCAATAACACATAACAGACACGGTCAGTTATTAATGCCCAATGACGTTAATAACTTTCAGAATCGCCATTTGACACAGATATTTGTATTTCTGCACATCACGAGTTAAGAGATTGCAAATTGTGCACAACAAACACAATAAATTAAAAATAAACAAAATATAATAGTAAGTGTTAGTTCCTTACTGCCCAAATTACATGATCTTTTGAAAAAACGGTAAGGTTTCAAATCTGAACTGGGGCCTATTCAAATCAGAACTTATATCACTTATAATTCAACTTGCTAAAATCATATTTACTTCAATTTTTTCATAAGTACAAAATTAAATCTATTTGATCGTAGTAAATAACTATAATATAGTAAATTTACTATAAACTTATTTGATTATAGTAAATAACTCTAATATTATAAAACACATTCTCCTACACCTTAAAACTACTTTCCTTGTCATCCTTGTCTTAAAAATATGACATAATACATCAATTACTTATTTCATTCCAATGTTTCCACCAATACAATTATTTTATGAATAGTTCAAAAATACTTTAATGATCTTTGTTTCAAATAAATACCATATTAAAAAGTAGTAATAATGAAATTTAAAATATACTTTATTCATCTGACACTTTGAAAAAGACAAGCAGAACCCATTTCCAAATTTCGACACCCATTCTTCAAAAGTCTAAAACAAATGTAGATTCGATAATTGCAAAGGCCTATTCCTAACACTGAACATTACAGCTTTGAAACCCTAACCAAAAGCAAAGCACACTACTTTTTTGTAATAAAGAAAGGAATAGAAAGATAAAGAAGAATTTGAGAGACATGTTTAAAAAAACTGAAAACATACTTGGAATGCTATTGCTTGACCAAGGAGCTATATTACATTCTTGCAATGTAGAATTCACAGTGAATATACTATTTACTTCAATCTAATAGTATAATCCTCTCAAACATCCATTTAATTCTGAAAATATATCACACTATAAGAAGTAATAAACTTTTTCATATTTATGTTAAATTACAAAAAATTGAGGATAACAGAGAGAATAAAAATATTTTTTTTCAGACAATCAACTTGAAACACACCATTTCTGAATTGAAATCAGTGGCAGTGCTTTCATGATTGCACCCCCTGGAAGAGTGCAACATTGTTAACATTTCGTTTTTTAACTTAAATTAAATATTTCCTAAAAATTTTGTTTAGCTTTTATTGTTTGTAGAAGACAAACAATTCAATTGTTTATACAATACATAAGTACGGATATGGATGCAATATCAAATATTTAACATTTTATAGTAAAAGATGTAATCTTCGATATTTTTAGGAACATTGCATCCTTTGGGCTCTTTTGCCATTCACCAATTGTTGGGGCTATGGTACAATTATCTCAGCCACTGATTGAAACCCCAACTAATTTACATGCTAGCGAAATTTATTGGTTGGGGAAAATTATTATAATAGATGACATCCTTTATAAATTGAAATAAATTGACTTAATTTTAGTGATAAGAACATTCAACCCATATAAAGGCACATACATAATGTTTAAAAATATCATAAAGCAGAAAAACAAGAACTATCAAAAATTTACATAAAAAATTGGAAACAAGAATCCGTAAGTCATCATTTTGGGCTCCAAAATTTCAAGTAAAATGTTCCAATTACAAAATAATTTGACAAAGAATTTATGGTCCTAAAAAATCAAAACAGGAGAGAGATTTCAGCAATCCTAAATGGAACCCATTCATGTTAATGCTCTAAAGAAATTGTTTACAAGTATAAATTACAGGAATGATGCAATTTAAGGAAATGGAAGGGATAAATAGAGTATGAGATTGTACTATATGTATGTATTAATTAACCCAAAACTCTTTCCAATATTAGCAACAACATACCACAAAGTGCAGTATAATAATATACCACAAAAAGTACACTCTGTAACTGAAAGCAAATTATGCAAAAACTGATCAGTTCTGAATATCTGAAGCCATAATTCATCCAGTATATCACAGTGATAAGACAATATTTTCATATAACTAAATTTTGAAGTGTGTACCGTCCAGTGAATTGTAGAATGAAATAATTATAAACACTTGTTTGTGAATATACCCAGAAGTGCACCTGTGATTTATGAAGTCAATTCATGCAATTCCAACAGAAATATGATTTGCACATGCTCAATACATCTGTCAATTTCATACAGCAAAGCACTGACAATCAAATGAAGCAGAAGTTGCTGTTGCCTTATTTCATGCAAAATGTAGTTCATAAAAGTAAAAGATCAACAAAATGACCCCAACCCTCTATTTTGTTAATTTTCTTTTATTTGAAAACAATTTAAGTATTTTCTGACACAAACAACAAACTCAATTGTTTACTGATCACAAGGAGCTTCAAATGTTCCTAAATATTTTGTTCCTCCATTTAGATTCTATGTGAAAAGATATTAATGTAAAAAATAACTTCAGTAAGCACCCTGGTCAAGCTAAGAAAGTAAAGTTAACATCTATTCCATAAAAATAATAAAAGTAAAAGCCAAAACAATTTTCTAACTTATAAAATTCCATCAAATTAGAGAAATTCAACACAGTGGATACCAATAGAAAGAGCTTGAAAGTATTGTAATACACAATTTCTTTCAGCAGGAAAGTTTTGGCCATCATAAAATAATCCATTTACAAGAAAATCAGTTCTTTCAATTTAACATTTCAAAAAGTTTCAGAAATATCAAAAACTCAAATAACAGGAAACCAAATTGTTTCATTAGTCAAGAAGCGGAAAGAGCTCAAAAACTTAGGAAAAAAAATACTAAACCATAACTGCAACTCAATAAAATTTTAATTTTCCAAATTCAATTAGGAACATAACAGCAACTTATATTATTCAATACTTTCATTTCAGTCAAATTATCTGTTAGAAAATACTTCCCAATGAGTGAAGAGAATTTCAGAACTATGTTTTAACCATCAAAGCAATTTGGAATAAGAATTTAAAATATCAAGCATACAAATTATGCAACAAAAAACATAGCAAAGCCCAAAGAAACATGCTCATTGTAATGACAAATCTCACCGTCCATGAGTTTTGAGAGGAGCATCTCTGGCGCATCTGTAAGCATGGCCTCCTGCTGACACCAATGTCCCACAGGACGAAGCAGGGGAGGGGAAACTGACCAGTGTATCACTGTCGGAAGTTGGAGTCACAGCAGTCACCAGAGTGTCACTCTCAGAGTCTGCAAGGATTTGGGGATTTTCTTAACAAGTTTATTGAGATCAGTTACAAATAATATTTATCAATCACTACATCTTCTCTAATTTATAACACATTTAAAGTACTTCTAAAAATTAAAATACAATTTACATTATATTTTTTTCACAAAATAAAAATTAAACAAAGATTATTTTCACTGTATAATTTTTAAAATTAAATATGCTCCCCAACAATCAGAAATCATTCTCTTTAAAATTTAGATGTACTGTTTCAATTTTTAAAATTTTAAATTATTATTTAATTTTAATAATGTAAATTATGTATTTTTAATAAATAAAAATTCTGACATGTTCTTACTTATACAACAGTTATTGAACATCAAAATAAATATTAACACTTCAAAAATAAAACATTATTATTAAAAATAACAATTTACACAATGTTTCGGGCATCTGCTGCACTCATCATCAGGTATCCATATTGATGAAACATATAAAAACTCATTTGTAATATAAATACAGTTAGATTGATTGTCCTATGTAAATATTAGCTTGTATTCGCTTTGTTAACAACTGTCAACCTTCACGCATTGATGGCCAGGCATCTCTCTACTTACTAGGTGTTCCCTTCTGTACTCAGATCCAGAATCTCTGGGTATTTATATTACAAATAAGTTTTTATACATTTCATCAATATGGATACCTGATGATGAAGCAACTAACATGTTGTGTAAATTGTTATTTTTAATAATAATGTTTTATTTTTGATGTGTTAATATTAATTTATAAAAATAGGACAGGACAGTCAGAATAATATTCAACAATTAAATGATGTATTCACATATTCTAGAATATAAAGAAAACTGATATGATTTTCAGGATCCCTTCATATTTTTAATATATCTTCCACTGAAAATCACATAAATTAATTATATTTGTTAATTCATATTGATAATTTTGTTTATAAAATTGTAATACTTGCATAGACAAAATGAAAAACATGTGTACCCATCATCATTAACAATACAATGAATATTCATGTTCAGAAAAAGAGAAAAATCATTGTTTAAAAAAATGTTTGAACACGATAGGCAGTTTTCAAATAATTTTGTATGTTAATTATATTTTATTTTATATGATATGATACAATCTGATATTTTATTTTCTTAATCTATTGTTTGGCCTGTTTATGGACATCTCAAAATAAATAATAATAGACCGTTCCAACACAATTTTGTCACACAAAATAAGGTTCAAAAAACATAATGAAGAGTCACATTTCTATATGAAAGCATAGGCTTCCATGGCCGGTACCAGTACTGTATTTACTTGGCTGACCAGGAGATGTCTCATCCCAGGCACAGGTGCGCCATAGCATCTCCTGGGCAACCAAGTAAAAACATTTCTAGATATTACCAATTGAATTAACTAAGCTCACCAGCTTCAAATGCATCGTAGAATTCATCATCTGATGTATCATAAAATCTGGGACTTCGAATACGTGAGTGGTCACGAGAAGCACCAGCGTGCATAGAGGGGGAATTAGAGAGATGAGAAGCCATTGATTGTTCTAATTCATGATGTTCTTTAGCTAGGACATTTAATGCTTCCTCTAACACTCTGCACTTCTCTTGTTCTTGTTTTAATTGCAGTACACGCACCTGCAACAGATGATAATATTCATCAATTACTTATTGATACAAAAAACTTTAAATCACTATTTTTATTACAAAATTATATCAAATAAGTAAGTAAGAAGGATATATTATTGTGAATGTTTAGTAGTTAGAAGAAGTTATTATTTCATGAAATGCATCTGGATAACCTGATGACAATGTCTATTTACGGCTTTTTAGGCTGAAGTAAATACCTGGAAATAAGTTGAAATGTTCTTTTCTTTATATGATCACTTATAGGAATAAAAATATTAATAGACAAGGTAACTGAGAATTCTGGAAGACAACCACTATCCAGCACAAATGAAAAATTATAACCCAAGTTGATAAGATTCATGGCAGCAAACTGCTTCTTTTTGAATACTACAAAGTTTGTTTGTTTCCTTTCCCATATTCTTCCCACAACTTCAAGTTTATGCATACATTTTTAGTTTTATTAGAAGGTTGTGGAAACAAATGCAATATTTTTTTCTGTATTCCAGCATTTTAAACTCCCTTTTTCATTCATAAGAAGTTATTCATAAAATGACATCGTAGGGTGCAGATTATAATGCATTTGCCATTCATTGCACAAATAATTACATCGTCACATTTTTAGCCAATCGCAGCAAGGAAATCAGGTTTTTTTCTGCACAGATGTCACGTAGCAGAAACGTGACAATAAAGTTGTTTCCAAAATTTATCTTTTATTATCTCATAAATTTAAATGTTATTATACAAAAAAACTAACATGTGTCTCATTTATAACATTGCTTTATTGCATTCATAGATATTTGAAAACGTGCCCCTAACATCAAATGTTTTCAAAACGTGTAGGCCTATTCATGCAAAAATTAATATTTAACCTAATAAAATAGTAGGTAGAATTAATCATGAGTACATTTCCTACATATTATTACAACTAATACAAGGAGAAAAGAAGAAGACAATATTGTCTCAGAATTTATTTTATTTTCATCTAAGTATTTTTCCACTGCTCATTAACTCAACAGTAAGAATCATTTCTGAACAAAATTGTCAAGCACATTTAGTGCTAATAGTGGGGATGTATGAAAAGTATATCTGTGAAAGTACAATAAACTGTAAAACTAAACTCATTTGGTGAATGATTTTATATTTTTTAAGAAAACCAGAACTCTCAAAACAGAATTGCAAGAGAGAGAACATGGACAGTCTTTTTCTACTGTAATAGAAATATATTAAATTTCTTATTAAATTCATACCTCTTCTTGTTGTTGAAAAAGAGAAAGGCAATGTCCTAAGGATGATAACATATCCCCTGCTGTGTCCGACATTAATTGGAAACTCTGAAAAGAAAAAAAAGAAGAAGAAATAGAAAACAAATATTGAAAAGCTACATAAACATTAAAAAAATATATGGTCTTAAGGACTAGAAAACAAGTGCAATCAATACGAGTCTTGGAATAAATTTACTGCAAATTTTGGATACATGGAAGACAAAACTTGGAACATAAAAGTTATGAATCCCTAAATAACCCTGTAAGGGACGATATAAAAGAAAATATAGAAATCAAGAAATGGGCAGAGTATTATAGATATCTGCAGCAGAATAATAAAAAAAAAATCAAGTAGAGAAAATATCCAGCAGTAGACAACATTATTTTGAAAGAGATAGCAAATGATACAATTTTGAAACTCAGCACACACCGTAGGCCTCTTTCTTTATTTTATTTCCTTTAAATTCTAATATAATTTACACAACATAGCACCACATGCCTCTGTAGTCATTTACAATGGACTTGATACCTACTAAAATTCCTGAACACTGAATGTTGATTTAGCCAAGGTTGCTAAACAAGTGTATGCTCCTGGCCAGGGATAATTAATGACTTACTACAGTTCAAATCATCTTCTAAACCTACGCTTAACTAGCTGATGTACTCTATGAACACCTGATAAAGCTCTTTAATGTGTGCAGAACGCAGTTTGAGACTCCTCAAGAACAACTCCTCGAGAAAGTGATATTCCTGTACAAAAAAGATGACCAAACAAACACTAGTAATTATCAAGAAATAGGCCTGCTACACTACATATGAAGTACACACAAGAATTCTGTATCAATATCTAAAGACAATACCTGAAGCTTTTCTATGAGAGAAACAAGTAGAATTCAGGAAAGGTCATTCATACACACTTGCGATATTCACTTAAAGCGGTTGAGAGAAGAACTTAGGGAACAGTCTACTATATAAAGACAAATAAAACACAGTATCAGAAGTGTGTATTAGTCATATTTATAATATCAAATGACAACAAATAAAACAAGAAAAATAAAGTAGATAAGAGGTGATCACCTACAAGATTCAACTTACATTCATTATATTTTATATGATGATGATGATCAGAATCAAGTTTCAAGAAACTGAAAACAAGTTACAAATAGTAATGTTTATCTTCAACAATATTCTTGAAAATAATGGACTTAAATCATCAACTAAAAAGTCAAAAGTTGTGGCATTTGAAGGCAAAAATCCAGTACGACTGAAAATAATATTAAGATTTTACAGCCTAGAACAAGTTAGCCACTTCAAGAAATTGCGAAATCATCTCTTTGAATGTAGATGATGACATGTGAGAAACATGTTGTGTGAAAATGTCTGGGAAAAATACGTATGAATCTAAGACAAACACTAATAGAGACAAATCTTAAAAACTACACCACAGTTGTTGTAACTACTTTTGTGTATGCCAGGGAAACATAAGTGACACAAAAAATAAAAATAACATAGGAAGCAAAAATTTATGTGAAGCTAATCGGGTCTCACAGTACAAGAAAACCATCTCTGAATTAAGAGATCTTAAAGACTCGTATGAAAACATTCTTGGAAATAAAAGTGAAAGGTTCAATCAGGTAACAAAAATGCAAAGAACCTAATTTTTTTGTTCATAACCATGAAAGAAGTTCATGATTGTGAACAATAAAACACAAGAAATAAAGGGAACTGAAAATTATTGTTCATTTATCATTGTTTGCATGAGCAATATGTTAACCTGCATATCATATATTTACCCTAATTGCAGCCCCTGTAATAGCATCACAACCTAAACTATTATTTGCTAGAGCTTCTACCATTGCTACACTCTCAGTCAGTTGATGCTCCAAAACTTGGTGATGGGCAGCAGCAGTCTGCAAAGAATCCTGAAACAGATTCCAATACGTTGATAGCCGTTTTACAAAATACACACTTGTTCTGCATTATAGCAAATAACATTGTGTAGTATATAATAAACAATCATTTAAAATTTAGGAAAAACAACAAATGAAGTGATTGAGGAAATAGGGTATTTTGAAATAAGTATGAAAGGAGACGAATGTTATGAAATGATGCAAACATTTGAAAATACTTCATGTTTATGGTAAAGAAGACAGAGAGATTTGGATTACACCCAGTTTTATACAAAACTAGTTTTAACAAAAGCAGATTCTTTAAATGTACGAGGTATTGAAAATTCCATATTAATAAAACAGTAAACACAAATTTTGAGAATTTACCTGCATTGAACCTAATGGTTTGATTACTTCATCATCATCATCACAATCAAATAGGACATGACCTTGGGTAAGGTAATGAGTACTAAAGGCCGCATGTTCTGAAAAGGCATTCATCCATTTCTGAAAAAGAAAAGAGAAAACAATTTGATACCTTGTCTATTACGAAAAGTACATTGATTTCCAGCTAAAAATTATTATGATGAAATGAATATTATCATTATCACCATTACCATTCTTGTTATCCTCATCATTAATAACATTATTATTATTATTATTATTATTATTATTATTATTATTATTATTATTATTATTGTTGTTGTTGTTGTTGTTGTTTATGTGAATAACTTTTTACAACTGAATAAAAAAAGTATTTTTTTAAATAATTTTTATAAACAGTTTTTTGAAAAAGTGGTCTCCATGACTAATGTTGAAATTGTAAGTAAATTAACCAAAACTTACACACTCAAAACGTTAATAAATTAGTCTTCTTCACCACATACATTTAAATTTGAGAGCATTGTATACAACTAAAAGGAACAAAGTTCTCTTTATTTTAACAATTTCATCACTTACTTGTCGACTAATTTGTCCTGTTGTTTCACCATAATTCACAACACTAAGTCTATGAATAGCACCATCAGAAAAATGAACAACAAAAGAAGAATTATCACATTCCAAGGGCAAAATATTTGCTCCGTCTAAATATTTAAAGTCTTTCCTCTTGAATCCAGTGGACGCATCAGCTCGATTATTGAAGTAAGTTAATACTCCACGCTCTAAAACAGCCTGCGAATCAAATTTATTAGTTTCAAACATGTTTCTCTCATGAATATATTAAACTATCAGTTGACATCACTCTGAAATGTAACTTTGAGTGCACTCATTAAAAAACTGCCTTATACTTGCTTATCATTGTCTTATTCTTATTTTGAAACTTTTTGTTTTCCTCTAAAGCTTTCATAACGCCCAGCCAAATTTTGTAAATAGTTTCAATTTATTTTTAACAAAAGGAAAAAATGTTTTCATGTCACAGAAAGACAAGCTGTTTCTATTTCCTTCTTCAATTTTTATTAGGTTGATACCTGAATACTAACATTAAGTCAGAAGTCACTGCAAAAGCAATATATACACTGCAAACAACACTAATGAATGAATTGCAATGAAATGACAATATCAAGTTTATCTAATTAGTATTTTGAAAGCACGTTATTCAAAATTACATAAGCAAATTAGGAAAAGCAACTAAAATTAAAGCATGCTGATATTGACTTCAATTGTATTTCATTTCTGTACAGTAATATCCATTCTTCATGTACATCAATATCAAATTATAGAATTATCAAGCAATTTCTGCAGTCACAAATACACCATACACAATGCAACAAGCTAAGGATGCAAACTTATATGACAACATCAACATAAACTAAGAGAAAGAAGGAAAACAAACATGCCTAAATAAACAATATTAATTCAAACTTCCTACTGCCCCCAATATTCGTTCGGAGTTTTTTTGTATACACCAGAATGTTACAGAGAATAGAATCACAAACATTATTTTCATGTCAAATCAATAAGCAGTAGGTAGGTAAAAAACCTATGTAACATTGCCTGATGAATAATTCCAATATCAAAACATCAATTATGTTCAAGTAAAATTCTGCCTGAATGATGGATAAAATTTAATTCTTCTGTATAAATACACTCCTCCATGTGATTTAAGAATAGAAAGTCCCAATTCAGCACCCTAGTCTGTTATGTTTCAGTCTTGAAATGGATGTGGATGCTTGTTCTTTGTTTTTCAGTTTGATCAACACATGGGGCCTTGAATTGTGCTCATCTTCCAACTAAAGAGCAAGCAAGGTATGTTAAGTGTGCAAACACAGGAACCTCCTTACAACACAGAACTGGGCCATACAGGAATAGGAGAAAGAAAGAAAAATGAAGATAAAGTAAAAGCGAAAGATGGAAAAGAGAAGAAAACGATCAAGAATACATATTAGAAAAATGAAAGAGGAATAAGAAAGGAAAAATAAGGAACAATGGAGGAAAGAATGTAAATTGATGGTGCTGCAACATCACATATTTTATCACATTCTTTCTAACTTTACTAATTTTGAAAAATTCAGTAAGTAAAGCAAATACGAGACATGTGTCATTTTTTAACCATTAATTTTTATGCCTCTTCATTAGAAAAAATTGAGCCTTTGTGGGAATTTTTTGTAAATAAATATTTTGGGAATAAATTGCATCTCCATCACCGAGAAATTATGTAAAAATGACTCTTGTTCAAAAAATTGTGTGTGACCTTATTAAAGATCTAGTTTTTAGAACAGAGTTCTTTTAAGAAAAGAATCTCTATCAACAATCTTGTATTTTTGCAATGATAATTTTTTTACAATTTTCAAAAGATGCTGAAAAAAATTGAATGTTATCAATTTTCAAAAATTTAGAGATTTCAACAAAAATTCGACCTGCACCTTTTTTTGCTTCCTTTACACTCTCTGAAGAAATAGTCATCTTTATCAAAAAAGATGGTGCCATTTTTGAGAAAATTGTGGAAATATTGAGGCTTTATGTAAAGCACTCCCAAAGGTCCAAATACCCACAAGAAACTCTCAGACCTTAGAGAGAGCTTTGTCCAGATTCATGGCAAAATATCAATTTTGTAGAAACTATTGTCTTAATGGTTTAGGCACCAGCATTGGCCACACACAGAACAAGAGAGAAAACAGACAGACCAGACACACCATGTGTTTTGCTGTCAATCAATATTTCAGTATAAAGGCCCTCAAAAACATGGACTCTGACTACACATGTTAGAGGAAGCAAATTACTTCATAAATGAACTTTTTTGATATCATGTCAGTACATTACTTTCCCAATACTATGTATTTAGTAAGTAAAGTAATAAAATGAAAATGAATAGAAAACAGGAACAGAAAAAGTAAGAAGGAACATGCGTAAGGAAAGATACTAGACAGAAGAACCAGGGAAAGAGGGAGAAGATATTACAATTAAAAACTAGTGATGCTATACAATGACATACTCTCTTTCTAGTTAGCTTTCAAACCTCTTTACCCTAGCTTCTTGGTATTATTCCAACCTCTTCTCACCTACTACTTTTTGGTGCCCAATTAACATTTTTAAAATTTATTTCCTCAATTTTTCAGTTACCTAACAGATTTGAAACATGACTTTCAGAATAGTATTGAACTGCAAATCATTATCCTATGTTCAAATTTTCATTGAAATATACTCATTAACAAGCCTACAATTTGTCCTGCCTACTTGGGGAAGGTTCCATTGTGATTTGGGGAGCAATATCATGGTATTCAGCTGATCCTATCACTGCCCTCGATGGGGAGATTAATGTGAATGAATATCTCAACATCCTCAAAAGAATGAAGCGTTTACAATGGCTAGCATATTGTCACCAAATACTGCCATTTTTTGAGATGATAATGGACCCATATACAAGCAAAAAAAAGGTTCAGGCATGGTGTGCGGAGCATCAGAATATCATTAAACATTTTCATTAGCCAACACAATCATCAGACCTTAACATAATTGAACCGTTAAGGGGCATTTTAGAGCACAGAAAGAGAGTCAGCTCCAACATTGTTGCAGCAATTAGCGAATGTTTTGGAACAAGAATGGGAGAACGTTCCATTGGAACTATTCAGACAAATTTATTCTGCGACCAATTGCAACTGTTCTAAACTCCAATGGTAGTCCTTATTAATAAATTTAAATTTTTGTATTAGTCAGGTGCTTGTATTATTCTGTTCAACCCCTGTATAACTATAATTAAATTGTTGATATAATTTGTGTCATTGTTCTAAAGTATTGTATAAGTTATTAAAGTTAGCAAGTGTTATTCATTTCAGATTAAAAGAGTGCAATATATTTACAGTGAAAGTTTGTCAATGATCCTTTGAGTCAGAATACATCAATGTAATAAAAGCAGGTATGTTACTTTGGAAACAAAAATACTAAGTAAAAGATACTGTAAGACTACAAACCAACAAATTCAGATTAGTAAACACAAAAAACTCAGCTTATGTATATAATCATATCTGTACCTTATTTAACATCAGGGGCACTCAGAAGGGAGGGGGAGGAGGTGGGGCAAGTACCTTCAGGCTTTATTGGAAGCCTCACTTTTTTTTATTTTGAAGCAAACAAAAAAAATTATGTACTTCTAATTTAAATTAACCATTAAGTTATTTCTGTTGCATGGAGAAATGAATATGTTTATGTATTCAGGGGGATTTTGTTTGAAAATATGCATCTACTGCCCTAGGCCTCTTGTTTTCTCTGGGTGCCCCTGTTTAACAGGCACTTTAAAGTATTACATGTTAAACAGAAATGTATTTTGTAAATAATATGCCAACTGCAAACAACAGAATGTTAGATAGGCACACATTCATCAGATTGGAATGACCTTAAGGAGTGTTTTTGTACTATATGTTTGTCAAATACTTATGAAAAAACAACAATAATTGTTATTAATAAATTATAAATATTAAATATATACATATTATTGTTAAATTTGGTGCATTGTTAATTTATTTTTCAGTTTGCCCATTACTTGATCATTGGCAGTTGACATTAATATTGAAAGTAGTGATTGTAATTCAAATTCACAATAATGATCTTAGAAAGAAAATAAAATTATAAAAAAATATAATGGCTCATATATAAAGTTGTCAAGAGAATGTAAGTACAGACTTACATTTTGAAAGAATGCCTGGAAGGTAAGAAAATTATGTAAATCCCTAGTTTTGCGCAAATTTCAAATTCAAAATTTAAACAAATTTATAAAAAGGATATATCTACTCAAAATTATAAGTCATAATAAAAAATAAACACTAAATACCCAAATAGGTTTCCAGCCCAAAAACCGAGATCGTTTGAGCAATTGTCCCTCAAATCGAGTAGCAGATTTTTGTAGTTGACGAACAGGTCGCACACAAAGTACTTGTTGCATCTGAGCGTCCCGAGCTAAATCCACAGCTGTTTGACCTAAAAAATACAAGTGACCAAAGGAGTTGATGCTTTTATAAAATTGATCCAGACATTATAATTTTATACCTAAGAATATCATGAGAACTGTAGAGTAAAAATGAATCGGGAGAGGTGAATAAATGAAATACAAAAAGATCTCTACCTCTTTATTTCAATAGTAAATAATAAAATGCTTGATTATAAAACATACCTAAATCACTGTTACTCAAAATCCATTGCATGGCACAGCGCATCAAAAAACTCTTTCTTAATTCACACATATTTTAAATTAAATATATTCCAACATAAAATATGCATTTAGAACATAATCAAGAACAAAAGTGCTTCTGAGTTATGTACTATCATGATGATAACAACGTACACAGATCAAAATAGAAATAAATTACTTTTTAAATCACACTTCAAAGCAGCTTCAAAGAAATACAAGTACAAAAATTATTTGCCTACCAATATGTGCGATTCTGCAAAAATGTCATGTTCTAATAGTGATAGTCATTTATTAAACACAGTGAATTGAAATTTAATTCATACAACATGGAAAATAACTACCTGTTATCTCATAGGAGATTAAGAACATTTTAATGGATTTTCTAATATGAACAGGGATCTGAAGATATTCAAAAGATATTTAAATCTCTAAACTAAATAAGAAAAATAACATTCAAAATAAGGGCATGGGAAATCAAATTTTCACTGCACTGCCATCCCAAAGGCATTGCAATGTAGAGAAGTCTTGGAAAGTATTCTCAGAAGACTCCATGCTGTAGCTTCTTCAGACAGCAATTCATTGAAATATCTAATACTCAGGATTTGTACTAAAGGACTTTTGACTTACGTCAAAAATGAGAAAGGAGAGCTAGAAAGGAAAAGAGAAGAAAGGAGATAGGAGAGGAGAAAAAAAGGGGTTAAAAAGGAAGAAAAGAGGGAATGTGGGAGGTATGTGGAGAAAGAAAGGTGGAGGAAAAATAAGAAGACTGGGAAATATGAGGTGTGGTGAAAGGAAGAGAATACAGAAAAATAAGTGGCAAGAAAGAAGTTACAAGGGCAAAGAAGAAGTTACAGAAAACACATGAAAGGCAGGAGAGGGTAAGGGAAGTGGATGAAAAAGAAGAGAAAAAAGTTAAGAGGAGATTGAAAGATAGTATGATGGCAAAGTATTAATTATGAATTTTGTTGACAATTAATTTCAAAATTGAATTAACAAAGCATACATCAAAATAGTTACAGGAATTTTTTAAATCAAAAGGTTTATTTTTATTATATTATGGCCTGATAAATGATGTCTATGAAAAAACATTCTTAATGTTTAATTTTTAAGAGGTGAAAATCTAGTTTATTTGAAATACTAGTGTATCTAATAAATAGCTTACAAAATGAATGCATTTTTTCAGACATTCTAAAAATCTGTATAATTAGACCTTTAAGAAAGAAAATTCATCAGGTCTACAGAATTACTAACCTGTCACACTTGCATCATGTTTTGCTATACATGTTGAAAAAGTTATGTAACAAGGAATATACAGTATTACGAAATATAATAATGTATTTGAAAATCTCAACATGGGTACAGAAACTGCATGTCAACCATCAGAGTGGCACATAATTTTATAAATGATGAATTTATGGATCATGAAAATCTTTATAGACCCATCGGCGATCTATTTAAATGATCTCCGCGTCTACACGTTATAAACTAATGTTCTATGCTCCAAGAGAGAGATCATTTTGCAGCTAAACCCATTAAATTTAAAACCCAAAAAAAAAAATTAAAAAAATTGGGGGAAAAAGTTGGGGGGGGGGAACTTAATTTTAAAAAGTTGCAATGCCTTTTTGTTTTAAAAAACATTTTAAATAAAAATTGTGCCATAAACTAAAATAACTTATGGTATCAAAATATATATTTTTTAAATATTATTTCTTATGTCTTTGGGTACATATTTTTTGTTGTGAGTCTATGCCAGGGTGGTGTGTGTGTGAGAGTTGAAAGCATTTAGTGTGCCATTGCATGGACAATGTGAATGGGCGAGAGAGTGCACGTGTGCGCGTATGCGAGTGCCGGAGCGTGGAAGCGGGGCAGGGTGTGGTTGGGTGAAAGCGAATCGAGCGTGTGTGTGGGGGAGGGGTGTGGGGGGGTGTGTGGGGGGGTGGGGGGGTGTTTTGTGGAGAGAGGAGAGTATGTGTGAGAGAGTGGTTGTGTAATGTGTGGAGAGTGTGTGTGTATGTGTGAGGAGTGTGTGTGTGTGAGAGAGAGGAGCGTGTGAGAGAGAGGCGTGTGGAGAGAGAGCGTGTGGTGAGAGAGAGCGTTGTGAGAGAGAGGTGAGTGGTGGGAGATGAGCGGTGTGTGAGCGAGAGAGCGTGTGGTGAGAGAGAGAAGGTCTGTGTGAGAAGAGAGCTGTGAGAGAGAGAGGTGTGTGAGAGAGAGAGGTGTGTGGAGAGAGAGGGGTGTGTGAGAGAGAGGCGTGTGTGAGAGAGAGAGCGTCGGAGAGAGAGAGGAGCGCGTGTGAGAGGAGCGAGCGCGGTTTGTGAGAGAGAGCGAGCGCGCGCGCGCGTGTGTGTGTGTTGTGTGTGTGTGTGTGGAGAGGGAGAGCGGGGCGCGCGCGTGGTGTGTGGAGAGAGAGAGAGCGCGCGCGGTGGTGTGTTGTGAGAGAGAGAGAGAGCGGCGCTGCCGCGTGTGTGAGGAGAGGAGAGAGAGAGAGCGAGCGCGCGTGTGTGATGAGAGAGAGAGAGGAGCGCGCGCGGTGTGGTGTGTCGTGAGAGAGAGAGAGGCGCGCGCGTTGTGTGTGACGAGGAGAGAGAGAGAGAGCGGCGCGCGTTGTGTGTGAGAGAGAGAGAGAGAGAGCGGCGCGCGGGTGTGTGAGAGAGAGAGAGAGGGCGCGCGCGTGGTGTGAGAGAGGAGGAGAGAGGTGCGCGCAGTGTGGTGTGTGAGAGAGAGAGAGAGAGCGCGCCGCGTGTGTGTGAGGAGAGAGAGCGGGCGGTGTGTGTGAGAGAGAGCGGGCGGGGCGTGTGTGTGTGAAGAGAGAGAGCGGCGCGTGTGTGTGTGTGAGAGAGAGCGGCGCGCGTGCTGTGTTGAGAGAGAGCGGCGCGGCGCGTGTGTGAGAGCGCGAGGCGGCGTGTTGTGTGAGAGGGGCGGAGCGCGCGCGTGTGTTGTGAGAGCGGAGCGCGCGCGTGTGTGTGAGAGGCGAGCCGCGTGCTGTGTGTGAGAGCGCGAGGGCGGCGTGTGTGTGGAGCGCGAGCAGCGGCGTGTGTGTGAGAGAGAGCGAGCGCGCGCGGCGTGTGTGAGTAGAGGAGGCGAGGCGCGCGCGCGTGGTGTGAGAGAGCGAGCGCGCGCGCGCGTGTGTGGTGAGAGAGCGGAGGCGCGGCGCGCGTGTTGTGAGAGAGCGAGCGCGCGCGCGATGTGTGTGTGGAGAGAGCGAGCGACGCGCGCGTGGTTGTGTGTGAAGAGAGCGAAGCGCGCGGCGGTGTGTGTGTGTGTGAGATGAGCGAGCGCCGCGCGGTGTGTGGTGAGAGAGAGAGACGGGCGCTGCGTGTGTGTGAGAGAGCGAGCGCGCGAGCGTGTGTGTGAGAGAGCGAGCGCGCGCGCGTGTTGATGTGGTGAGAGAGCGGCGCGCGCGCGTGGTGTGTGTGAGAGAGAAGCGCGCGCGCGTGTGTGTGAGAGAGAGCAAGGCGCGCGTGTGTGTGAGAGAGCGAGCGTGTGTGTGTGTGCGGCGAGAGCGAGCGAGCGTGTGGTGTGTGCGAGGAGAGAGAGCGAGGTGGTGTGTGTGTGTGCGCGAGAGAGAGAGAGGTGTGTGTGTGTGGTGTGCGCGAGAGAGAGAGGGAGCGGTGTGTGTGTGTAGTGTGCGAGAGCGAGCGTGTGTGTGTGTGTGTGTGAGAGAGAGAGAGTGTGTGTGTGAGAGCGAGCGGAGCGTGTGGGTGTGCGAGAGGGGAGCGAGCGAGCGAACGTGTGTGTGGTGAGAGCGGCGACGTGGTTGTGAGAGGAGCGAGCGTGTGTGTGTGTGTGAGAGGAGAGTGTGTGTAATGTGAGGAGCGAGGGAGTGTATGTGGAGAGAGCGAACGAGCGGTGGGTTGTGTGTAGGAGCGTGTGTGTGTGAGCGAGGTGTGTGTTGTGAGCGAGCGTGGTGTGTGTGAGCGAGGTGTGTGTGTGAGGAGCGTGTGTGTGTAGAGAGCGAGTGAGTCGTGTGTGAAGAGCGAGCGAGCGGGGTGTGTGTGTGAGCGAGTGTGTGTGTGGCGAGGTGTGTTGTGTGTGTGGTGTGAGCGAGCGAGGAGTGTTGAGGTGCGCGAGAGTGTATTTGTGGTAAATATGTGAGGGGGGCTGGGGGCGAGGGGGAAAGAGGGCGAGGGGGAAAGAGGGCGCAGGGGGGAAAAGAGGGCGAGGGGGGAAAGAGGGCGTAGGGGGGAAGAGTGGCGGGGGAGAGGGGGAGGGAAGAGAGGGGGGAAAGGGGTCGAGGTGGAAGAGGGCGAGGGGGAAAGAGGGCGAGGGGGAAATAGGGCGAGGGCGAAGGGGGGGGGAAAGAGGGGAGGGAAGCGAGGGGGGAAAGAGCGTGGGAGTCGAGGGGGAAAAGGTGCGGGTGCGAGGGAAGGTGGGGGAAAGAGGGGCAGGGGGGAAAGAGGGGAGGGGGGAGAGGGAGGGGGAAGGCGAGGGGGGAAAGAGGCGATGGGGGAGGGGGATCAAGAGGCGAGGGGGAGGAAGGGAGGGGGGAAAAGAGGGGAGGGGGGAAAGGAGGGCGAGGGGGAAAGTGCAAGGGGGCGAGGGGGAGGGGGAGAAGGGGCGCAGGGGGAGTGGAAGAGGGGAGGGGAAGAGGGGGA